CCTTCTGGAATACAAAGTTGTCCTCCACTCAACATTTTATGTTTGGCTGTATTGTTTTTCCAGCAGATACCCAGAAAATTGAACTTTACCATCAGTATCATCTCATAGCTTTTGGATAATTTTGTCACCTCCTTGAAGAATGCCTTATCCACCTCTTCTTCCTGACTCAGCAGTCCTCACCATTATATCACTGCTGCACCTTTAACTAAACCCAAATGCATTCTGCACTGCTATCTTTTTCCTCCTAAAGCAGGGAACAAATGTAGGTATTTTTGACATACAAGGCAACACCATGACCTTTTCTGCCCACCTTATCCCACTTTATCCTTCTAAAACAAAATATAACCCTCAATGTTGACATCCCAGTCATAAGAGCTGTCCCACCAGGTCTCCATGATACAATCAGATCATAGTTCTTTTCACAGACTGCAGCTTCCAGCTCATCTTGTTTATTCTCCTTACTTATTCTCCTTGCATTTATATATATACATCAGACATTAGGGCTGTGCAAAGCTTCGGGCTTTGATTCAGTCTGGAGGAGATTCGGCCTGATTTTGGAGGAGATCCGGACAATCCCTGCTGTCCCCCACTGCCACACGCTGCATGGCAGGCTCTATTATGAGCCCCCTGACCCCAGCCTGCTCTCCCAGCCCCCCCCCCCTGCACAATGGCTGCCCCACCCAGCCCAGCTCCTGGCTCTTTAAAAAAAAAAAAGAAAAAAAAAAAGCCTCTACTCACCAGCTGCTACAGTGGCCTTGGGGCTTCTGGGGGCTTGTGGAAGAGCCCCCCCACCATGCAGCACAGGGCAATGGGGGGCAGTGGGGATGCCCCCCCACCTGGCAGAAACCAGTGAGTGGGGGCTTGTTTTGTTTTTTTTTTTAAAGAGCCGGGAGCTGGGGCTGGGTGGGGCAGCCATTGACAGGGCTTGGAGAGTGGGCGAGGGATGGGGCCTGTTTGATTCAGAGATTAGGCTGATTCAGCAGCAGCCGAATCTCTGAATCAGATTCAGCTGGATCAATTAGTGACAGTCATTCAAATCAACAAATTGAATCACTGTCCCCTGAATCAGCCAAATCCCAATCTGAAGTGAATACTAGCCACTTTGCATGGGTCTATCAGACATATTTTATACTTCAATCTACTGGTTTCTATTTTGCACCATTTGTTGCTGTCCTGTGGCTCTCCAGATCTTTCTCAGAGTTGAGCTGCTTCTTCAGGTCCTTTCCCCTCTGGATGATTTGAACTGTCACCAGAGGGCATTTTGTAACACCCCCCTTGGAACCTATTTTAAAGCACACCGTATTAGGTTGGCCAGATGATGCCCAAAGATACTCTTTCCCATTCTGTTCAGATGGATCCCATCTCTTGATAGCAGCCCTCCCCCCAAGAACATCTGCCCATTGCTGAATAAACCGAAGCCTTCCTGTCAACACCACTGTCTCAGCTAGGAATTTACTGCCAGGATACAATGGTTGTTGCCTGGGTCCACTGTCTTGTACAGGGAGGATTGATGAGAATACCTCTTGTGCTCCAAGTTTCTTATTTCTCCTGCCAAGAGCCTCACAGTCACCTCTGCTCAGTTCGGTATCACTCATGGGAGTAACAGCGGTGCATACATGGACAAGCAGGAAATGGTAGTGGTCTGAGGGATGAGCTTTGTAAATTTGGGATTTCAAGGACCCCAAAGCTGATTGACAAGTTGGTGCCTCTCTCCTGCAAAAAAGGGAGTCACCACCTTCCTTCCTTTTTGGTTCCTTCCAGCAAGGAAATACTGATTTACACATCTACTCAGTGTTATCACCACCTCATGGGAATTTTACACACACAATTTACACTCATTGGCTGAAGGGAACCTAGTTATTTCTTTCTAAAATAACATTTTTTGAATGGTATAATTATATTCTACCCTCAGCTATATTTTCAGTCACTGAATCATATAATACTAGAGTTGGAAGGGATGTCAAGAGTAAGGGAGTGCAAAGCGGGCAGTATTCAAGTCAGATTCAGATTCGGCCCAATTCAGGGGACAGTGATTTGATTCACTGATTCAGATCACTGTCATGATTCAATTCAGCTGAATCTGAATATTCAATTCTGATTTGGAGAATCAGCAATTCAACCATAGACAAAGCTTTATATGTTTTTTCTAGGTACCTTGAGGTACCCGGAGCAGCTTGCGAACGCTGAGATGGTGGGGCGGATGGAGTGTCCCACAGGAGTGTAGGGGGAGATCCCTCACACACTTGGCGGCAGACCCAGAAGTGGACCAGAAGTATTTCCAGTCCACTTCTGGGTCCACCGCGGAGTGCGCAGGCCCCTCCCCCCTGCACTTCCATGGGACACTCTATCTGCCCCACCATTTCAGCATTCAGGAGCTGTGCCGGGTACCTCAAGGTATGTAGAAAAAATATATAAAGCTGTGTCTCTGGCTGAATCCTTGAATCTCTCTGAATCTCTCCAAATTGAATTGGAGGCTTCTGATTCAATTTGGAGAGATTAATGGGTCTCTTGATTTGATTTGGATTCAGAGATTTGGCCGCTGTATCAGGACGGCTCTCTTCTGAATCGAATCAGTGACCAAAGCTTCGCACATCCCTGCTCAAGAGGTTATCTAGTCCAGTCTCCTGCTCAAAGCAGGTTCATCCCTGAATAAACATTTCAGTCAAAGGGTCTGTCTAACCTCCTCTTAAAATGTCCAAGGATTCTACAACTTCTCTGGGTTGCCTGTTCCAGTGCTTAACCACCCTCAGTGTACTTTCTAATATTCAAACTAAATTTACCTTGCTTCAATTTAAAAACAATTACTTCTTGTCCTGTTCTCTGCAGGCATAGAGATTGGTTTATCTCCAGCCTCCATATAACCACCCGTCATGTACTTGAAGACTGTTATCAAATCCCATCTCCAGTCTTACTTTCCATACTGAAACATCCTAGTTCCTTTAGCCTTTCCAAATGAGTCATGTTCCTTAGGCCTCTAGTAATGTCTTTTGTTACTCCCTGCCAGACTCTTTCTAATTAGTCCATATCTTTCTAGAAGTAAGTGGTGCAAAACTGTGACTTTACGTGTGAGGCCTCATCAATGTCAAATGGAGTAGGACAGAGGTGAGCAATTATTTGGGTCCAAGGGCCACATACAGTGCTTTAATGAGCTATCATGGACTGGATCAGCACCCCTGGCCCTGGTCCTGCCCCACCTCACCCTTCACCAAAACTTCGTATGGGGCTGAGGGTGGATGGGCAGGAAGCAGTGTTGAGGAGTGGGAGGGGCGAGCAAGGTTGGGATCTTGGAGCCAGGTTTCAGGGCAGTGACAGTTCCAGGCTAGAGCCCAGGGCCTGGGCCTACTCCCTACATGGCCCTGCCCTCTGGGAAGATGTGTGTGTGTGTGTGTGTGTGTGTGTGTGTGTGTG